CGCACTGGGCCAGCGTGGTTGACTAAAGCCTGGTCACCGTAACTTAGGGTAGTCTCCGAGCCCCTCGGTTGGGACGTATAGTGAGCTGGTGGTGATGATGAATGTTTCATGTAATTTAATTTTTAGATTTACATAGTAATTATATAATAGTATTACATGCTGTATCGATTACCAGCGATGTCCGGCGGACGCGGCAAATGATGGAACGTGTCGAGAGCGCAATGTGCCGGGTTAAATTCAAACTTAATTTATTAGCTCGGCACCCGACCCTCCGCCTCCGGTCATTTTCAATATTGAATTATCGACTAAAGTAAAATGAGCAAAAAAAATAAAAAATCATTTTACTTTTTCTTACATGGACTGTGACAGAATAGACGCTGTTATAATAAACAAGTAAAGATTTATATTCGAGTACTTATTTAACGGATAAACTCAATAAATACTGGATCAATTTTAAATATTCTTTGACTATAAAAAATTACGTTATAACTGAGTAGCATAGGCTTTAATTATTAGGTACAAGACTTTTTTGATTTAGTCCGTGCTGTCGAAGTCGCCGAAGAAAATTAGTCTAAAATACAGACAGAGGTAAAATTTTTTGAATTGAAAACAAGATAATATAAAACCAGTGCTAATTTTGTAAAAACGAGTGGATTAGCTAAAAAAAAATCTGGGGTACTGGGAAAAAATGTTTTCAAACAGCATTTTCGGAGTTAAGAAAAACAAAGTCGGTTAAAGCAAAAATTTAAAATAGATATGTTATAAAATATAAATTTATTTAGTGGTCCAGCGAGTGCCTGGCGGTGATGTAAATAAATTTATTGTTAGTGACCCGTAAAGCCAAGCGCTGGATTTAATATCTCTGATTAACGACAGTCCCGGCCGCACAACCTTCAATATAATTTTCTTGAACCTTCATAATTATTATACTCTCGATTTTATTACTACATACATTTTAATATTAAACATACATTATCTATAACTTTTACTAACAGATTATCGGTAAACCCTTTTAGGTTAGTTGGATAATTTTAATTTTAAAACCTACTATTAGTTGATAAGGTTCTTTGTGGAGATTAAAGTTAACCAACATAGTTGTAACCAAATGTTTTAAAATGCAGATTATATCATAGTAGATAGAAATCATTCAAATTAGTTTATTGAATTTTTATTGACGATAAAAGTTGCAAATTGCGGACATCTTTTTTCATTGCCGGTGCTTTAAATTAGTTTTATTTTTTAAAAATAAATCAAGTGTTTTCATATTTAAAAAAAGCTTTTGAATACTAGTTAGAAGAACTGTTTATTTTTCAAAGTTGCACCGACGCTATCTATTGGTCTGTGCAATTTAGTTGCTATAAAACATTGCATCGATTGGCAAGAATAGTTGCCGACGGCTGGCTTCGTGCCAGAAATCTCTATTGCGCTAAAGTGTTGTCTAATGAATCTCCTCTGTAAACAATCAGCATTTCTAAGCCGCTGTATTGATATTGTACTTCTATCTTGTATTTCATTTGCATTGTGTATTCTATTCAAGGACGCTTTATTGAGTAATAACAACACCAAATCAATGTAAATGTGTCTGTGTGTTTCTATAGCCAAAATATCAATCTAACATTAACTATAGAGTTCAGGTGGATGGATGATGTTTGTTAAAATTTGTAGCGTAAACTACTGAACGGATCTCGATGAAATTTGTCATAGATGTTCATAGTCTGGTAGAACAGATTTTTTTTTATTTCCATGCGGGCGAAGTCACGGGCAAAAGCTAGTATTTTTTACTATCAAAGATATCCCATTCAGATAATGAAATAAAAATGTGTTTTTGCTCTGGCGTTTTACGTAATATA